CAGTTTCCAGGGAAATGGGAGAAGAGCCACCCACCAGTGACTTGATCATACTCAGATAAAGGGGGTAAGGTTGGTCTTGTGGGAGGCCCCATCTAGGGAGACAGGTTCTGCTCTGGGCCCGGATCCTGTGTCCACTTGAGTCCCTTCCCTTCTCTGAGTTCCAGTTACTCTCATCTGTAAAATGGGGGATGATAATATTTGCTTTGAACTTGTGGTTGAGAAGTGAGTAGTAAAGGAGGGATAGACGTAAAATCTTCCTTAGAAGTTCAAAGTACAGAATAGTATTATTATACATCTGATGCTTGCGCCTGGTGACTCACTTTCACCTCACACTGCACTGCAGCATCTCCCAGGTCACCTGGAGGGAGGACCTTGACCAAGTTCACTTGTGGGTTGAGAACTTCCCCCCACCAGGAAACAACAGGTGTCTCCCACCACGTCACAACTTTCACCAAAGATAAGGGCAACTTGGCATGTTAATGGGCAGAGACAGGGAGGGGCTGGAAGACGCTGTCCTCTCTAGACACTGTAGCCCAGCACACTGCTTTCTCCTGTTTCTTGACCTTTATCTTGACTCGCACCTGCACCTGTATCTCTCTTCACAACTGTAGAGTCTTTGTAGCTCTTTTTAACACATAAGATAGGGAAAGAATGAGGATAATGAAGAATGGATCAAATTTGTACTATAGGTTAACCCAAATGTCATCCTAATCTCCAGCCAAGGGGACAGGACCAAGTGGGAAACAGCTCTTTGCTCACCAAAAGCCATGCTCCCCTCACCCTCCTGGCACTTGACCAGACTGTTTCCCTTGCAGCTATGTGTGGCCATGTGACTAAGTCCTAGCCAATAGGATGTGAGCAACCTGGCCCATAAATATGTTTCTGGCTCCATGATCCTTCATGTTCTTTTCTCTTTATGGATGGGTCCATTGGCTACAATCCCCAGGGTGACCATGGAAGCCTGAGAGGAACAGGGCCACCCCTCTGACCTATTCACCCACTCAATACCGTTAGGTGAGAAAACATAAACGTCTCTTGTGTCTGAGCTTTTATATATTAGAGGCTATATCTCCGATAGAGCAGTTAGCCTACCCTAATTCAAACAGAGCAATATAGCCCACAAGTCCTGCCATCTCCAGGAAGCCCGTGCTGATCTCTTCCTTCTTTGCACCATCTATACCTCTATCAAATGCTACCTTATGTTGCTTTCTGATCATTTCACAGGAACGTAAGCTAAAATTTAAACTAGGGACTCATGTCTTCCTTTTTTATTTTATGCCATGCCTAGCAAAGAGATGCTTAATAGTTTTGGATTAAATCTTTTCTTCCTTCTGTGCACTTAGTGGGAAGTTCCTCCACCAGGAATGCCATTTCTCTTTCTCTCTGATACTTTACCCCATGTCCGCGCCCACTTTCCATCTCTCTTTCTCCACGGGGGCTTCCCTTACCACTCTAGGCCGTAGTGATCTTGCCTTCCTTCAAAGTGTACAGCACCTATGGTCACTCACCTGACATTTTCATCGAGAAAACGTTTGCATTATTGTCTTAGCGTTCTGCAGTGTAATTAATGATGCATTTAAGAGATGGGCAGAGGAAGAGAAGAACAAAAGAAACTGGAAAGGAGAAGCCAAGGAGGCAGGGAGAACATTTTGGAGAGCTCAGATGTCATGTAAACCAGGGGAAGAGAGCATTTTAAGGACAGAGGGGGAACAGCATCCCGTGCTGCCAAGAGAGTGGCCAAGCGAGGTATTCACTCCAAAACTGGGCTTAGCAGGGTGGAGGTGACTCGTCCCCTCCATGAGAGAGGGCTCAGTGAGCCTCATGGCATGGGCTGAGGAGGGAGTGGATTGTAAGAAAATAGACAACGTGAGACTAGGTAATGCTTAACTTTAGGGAGGGAGGAGAAGAGGTTTGAGAGGTAGCTGGAGAGAGATGTGTGGTGACGAAAACATTTTTTAGGATGGGTGAGACTTACTGATGGGAAAGAATGGTGGAGAGGGAGAGGTTGAAGGCGAGGAGTGAGGCGTGATCAGCAGTGGAGTCCCTGAAACGGAGGGGTGGGTAATGGATCCAGGGCACAGGTGGGGGCCTAAGCTGGAGGGACCCGCTTCCGTGACAACCGGTGGGATGGAGAAATGACACTCATCCTTTCTTCCTTCCTAGGTGGTTGTCGGGTTAAGTGGCAAAGTCAGGTCAGCCCCCAGATGATGGCTTCTGTGTTTTTCATAAAAGGAAACCAAGTTATCTGCTGGAATGAGGGGAGCAACCTCTGAGGGGACCCCAATCCTCTGCCACTCCCAGTGCTTCCCATTCTGAATGCGACTTCTCCAGCAGGGTTCCTTGGCCATTTCTCACAACCCTCACCTCAGCTTTGGGAACTGACCAGACGTCTTAAATCAAGAAAAAAGCAGGGTTGGTCTCTGTGGCCCACAGGGAGGCCCTTTGAGTTCTAGCTCCTCAAAAACCTGGACCGCAGCTCTTTCATTTCTGTTTTTCCTGGACCCAGCATGGATTTAACTGGCAAACGGATGGCTTATTGCTCTAATGCAATGATAGGAACATAATTCTTCACTTTAAGAAGGCTAGTTGTTGAAAAAAAAAAAAAAAAAGAACATTATTCACAGTATTTTCATACCGCAGGTGCTCGCTGACTGCATCTGTCCCCTGCTCCCGATGGGCATGTGGGTAAAGCCAATGGTCCCATGCCAGGTGGTCTGCCCCTTGACCTCAGCTTTTTAAGAAATCCTAGAGCTCCCAGCGTTTGGAGCCCCAGTCCGCGGACACAAGAGTAAGCAGAGGCGGTCAGAGCGCCGGAAAAACCGGGCTGGGCGCGCTCGCGTCCGCCAGAGGGCGCCGTCGGCTCGCGGAGTCCGGCGCAGTGGCCGCAGGCCCCGAGGTGCCCTCGCGACGCCGCCCAGCAGCCCCAGTGACTTATCACTACAGCCCCTGGTTGCCTTGGAGCAGAGCGATTCAACCATCGCCAAGGCGCTCATCTGGGCAAGGACGGGAGAGGCTAACAAGATTCGTGACACTCTTCTTATTTCACAGGGCCATCCTTGTGACGAATATTTATAGAGCGCAAACTTGTACCTACCACGTCCAAGGTACTGGGGAGCAGGTATGGAGATGAGTCATATTTCAGAGAAGGGGCAGAGTTAAGACAGGTACCAAATAAGAGACTTATAGCTGACTGGGCAATAAAAAGTGAGGAGGAGGTGGTAGGGGAGTTCAGGGAGGACGATGCATAGCTTCAGCTGGGGGAATAAGGACCGGGCCCACGGAAGATTTGGGCCTTAAAGGAGAGAAGGAATTGCCACCCTTCATCACATGTTGGTTGTAACAAAACCTGTGAATTTAACCTGTTCTGGTTTTACACTTGTTATAACTACATGATCCTTATTGGTAACGAGAAGCAATGTTCCCTGCCCTGGAGCCCCAGCTCCTTGATCCTGAAAAGTAAATTAGAAATGGATTAATCAAATGTCCAGAACTTGTTAGAGATCTATAACCTGATCTGAACAGTCAGATCAGTCATTCTGCTAATTGATAAGCTATCCACGGGGAGCCTCGGGAAACAGCTGCTATACTTGGTGCAGGTATCATAAAACCATCTGCCGAAAACACATCTGATTGGTGTTAGGAGAGAAGAGGTAAAAATAGAGGAGTTGAGGAACAATAAAGTCCTTTTGTTTTCAGGAAGACCTCTATCAATATCATAGTCCCCCGAGAATTATTGTAAGTCTATAATATTGTATTTCACCCAGGCCAGTTAAACTTGAAACCAATACATTAAAACAAACCTGAACCTTAGATTTACAAAAATTTTGTTTCCGAGGTATTAAAATGGAACTGGGGTTATTATCATTACATGGCATTGCGTTGGTTCCAGCAGGACAATGTAGAAAAAAAGTGAACTTAAACTAGTAAGTGCAAGCATTGGTTTTGACCTCTAAATAGTGTTTTGGTTATTATGACTATTTTTTTCAATTTTCTTGTGTGGCAAGTCAGTTAACCTCTCTAGAACTGAGTTTCCTCATTTAATAGATGAATGTAATAAGGATTAAGGATATAGGCCAGGTAATCTCTCAAATCCTGCAGAGTGAAACAAACAAGTTTTAGTTCTATTGAGTCCAAATGCCTCCTTAGTGCTGATTTGGTTCTGAAGTCGCTTTTGAAGGACCTGCAGGTCCTGTGAAGTTAGACATATTGAGGGAAGGGGAAGAGGAGCTTAGGTGGTTGCTAGTCTGACACTTGGTAGGATTCTCCAGTCACCGGAAGTCTTCTGTATGCCGTGGCCCAGGGCCATTGGGCGTCAAACAGTCCCACTCTGATTGTGATAGCTGCTCTCCCTAAATGACTATAGCTCTTTCTGACTGTGCCATTTATCTGCCATTTACTATGTGCTACCTTGAATTATCTCTAGGCACCAGTTATCTGAAGACAGGGTCTAGGGCAGTCTTCAGTGCTTTTCACCAAACAGTCCAGGCTCCTCCCCTCTGCGGGTAGGAGAGCTTCCCAGCCCCCTCATGTCTGGGGAAGGGAGGCCACGTGACTCGTTCTAGCCAACAACTAGTGAGCAGAAATGGAGGTTAGCACTTCCGGTGGGCTATTGAATTGCCTGAGTAAGACCTTCTAGAGGTTCTTTTGCTCTCTGCCTGTGACCAGCTATGTTCCAGAAAGTGAGAATGACGTGAATGAGTGAGAATGATGCTGATATGGAGGCAGACCTGCAGCCAACCCTGCCATGGACTTTCAGCAGTGTGAGAAGAGATCTCTTGTTATTTTTAGACCTTGAGATTTGGGGACTGTTTATTAGAGCAGCATGAACTGGCCCATCCCAACTAATAAAGGGTCACTGTGTGTCATCTTCATTTCCTCAGTGCTCTAGATGACATGGCGCTCAATACCGACTGCTAAATATATGAATGACTGCCTGAATTGATCTTTCTATCTCCCCCACTGGAGTAGGAATCATCCACGTATCTGTTTGTTCTCCCTAGGACACCTGCCCCAGTATTCTGAACATAGCAGGTACTCAGTAAAGACGGATGGGTTAATTCATGGATTTAAAAGTCCCAAGATGCAGCCCAACATCACAGTCAAAGAAGATGTGGTATGTGATACTATTTTCCATATGGCACCTGAGAGAGTGGGGCTCAGGGTCAAAGGAACTGAGGAGGGAGGGGCGCCAGGCCCTCTCCTGTCCACATCCACCTTTAAGCTCTATGGGGTTACCTCTGATCCCTCCATCTCTCTGCGGGGTGTGAATGAAGCCTGGTCTCTGGGTCATTGCAACAGAGTTTAGAGCAGAGACAGGGCCCAAATAAGCAGATATGGCAGGCCAGATATGGGCCAGAAACAGGAGGGTTGGCCTAGGGCGGGGTTAGAATTGGGGTTGGAACTAAGGTGGGAACTGAGCCAGGGCAGGGCCAACAAAACTCTGCAAGGTTTTCTACTGTTGTGCTCCTGCATATTCCATCACAGGGCCCAGGTGGTTGGACTCCGTTTCACAGAGCGTGTGTGGAATGTATGAGAGACCCTGACCAGGCAGACCTTTGCAGAAGCCATTAACATCCTGTAAACGGCAACAACCAGCAGAGCAACAAGGCCATGAATCTGAACGCGCTAGTCTAAGGTTCTGGCACCCCTCCCTGCTTCCTTTTACCCAGCTCAACAATATCCACAGACCGTTTCATTTTTTTTTTTTTTTTTTGGTACGTGGGCCTCTCACCGCTGTGGCCTCTCCCGTTGCGGAGCACAGGCTCCGGACGCGCAGGCCCAGCGGCCATGGCTCACGGGCCCAGCCGCTCCGCAGCATGTGGGATCCTCCCGGACCGGGGCACGAACCCGTGTCCCCTGCATCGGCAGGTGGACTCTCAACCACTGCGCCACCAGGGAAGCCCCCAGACCGTTTCATTTTTGATCAGTTGGAGTGTAAAGCATCCTCAGACTTGGAGCTTCTGTTTCTCTGACATCCTGTGTTCGGGGTGAGTCTTCTGGAGAAAAATTACAGAAGAGAAAAGGATCCATCCCTGAAAAATGGTTTTTTTTAAAGTGTTAACTCCAGTTATGCTGCTTCTCCACTTTAGAGGGATCATTGTCTCTCAAGGAGGAAGTTCAGACTTCCTTTGCAGGCTCTACAAGGCCTTAATTATCCAGTCCAACCTACCTCACCTCCTCTTACCTCACAGGCCAGGTACACCCGGTCCCTTACAGATCCCAAGCAGCCATGCTCTTACCTACCTGTGCCTTATACACTCTGTTCCCGTTGCCTCCAATGCCCTTTCCTCTCCTCTTTGCCTCTGAAGGAATTCCTGTTGAAAAGCCTAGGCCTGCCGGGTGATGCCTTCCCAGGCAGCCCCAGGCAAAGGGCTGATCCTTCTTCTGTGCTCTCCCAGAGGGTGGTGCAGCCCTCCATCGGCTACTATCACACTGCCCTGGGGACTCTTGCTCCATCAGCCTTTTTCCATGAGCCTTAATTTTAAAAGGAGAAGGTCACCATCCTGATCATTTTTGTCAAATTCTTCTATCACTTTTCTTCCCTTCCTCTTCCCTCTCCCAAAGATCACAAAACAACTAGGCCATAGTTGGAATCCAAAGGGTGTTTTACTGAATGTCTATACCCATGGCTGTCCTGTCTTTCAAGACTATACAGGGGCCAAGAGAAGGATGAAGTAGGCAGTAATTATTGACTGGAATTGTACATTGTAAAACTTCTGCCCTGCAAGGGCTTGTTTTCCTTTTCACATGAAATCTGGAGCAGAGGGTCATTTTAGACCCACTGCCCCTACTCCTCAGGTAAATTTAAGGGTTTCCCCCTAAAGAGGCTCACATCTGGCATCTCCATGGTGCCCCTGGAGGATACATATTTTCATTCAGCCAAGTTTGAGAGGAGGATGGTGAGAGATTTATTTAGAAATAAGGATGTAATAAGGGCAGGAAATTAGCAATGTTTGTATGTAGACAACCAGCATTCTCCCTTTTTATTTAAATACTCTTCCAACACAAAACAGAAAGTTTGTTTGGCCCAGTTTTTTAGTTACCCCACTTTCCTCCACCCCCAGACAGAAAGACTTGTAATTGAAAGGAAAGGTCACCCCGGGATTGGCTGCATCTGAGGACTGCAGGCTGATTTATTCACATGGTTTAACAAGCATTCTGCTAAGAGGCGGATGCTGCCTTCCTGTAACCTTACCCAGGTCCAAGGAAATGGGATTAGAAACTTGTAGCTTATTGGTTTTAACAACGCCTGGTCACTGGGATGGCACCAGACCCTATTTAATATCCTTGGGGTTCTTGCCTGGGGAGGTGGGGGGAATCTAATATCATGCCAAAAGTTCAAGTTTAGTGTGTCTTTAATTCTAAACGTATTTCCTGTTGAACACATAGAAGAGGAGGGATTTTGACCAATGTCCTTCAATCCCTGTACTTCTCTGTTTGCAGGTAAGATAGGACTCACCCAGAGAAAGAGTAGAGAGAAGGTGTGAAACACTCAAGAATCCCTAACTTCACGAAATCTGTGCCTTTCTCCACCGCCCCAAAGGGCTGGGGCTGGTGTGGGGCAGGTGAAGCCCTCATCTCAGGCACAAAATTTCAGGGGTGCCAATAAACTCAGTAATACAAAGACTATTTTAATGCAATATTTTAAATTATTCAAAATTTGGATATTATGTTCACCCTGGAATTCTACATTCGTTTTGATTTTTTTAAAAAAAATATTGCATTAAAATATTATTTGTCTTGATGGCCGAGTTTGTTGGTAGCCCTTCAATTTTGCCTCTTTGTCAGGCATCGTAGTCATCTCTCTCTAGCTCTTGCTCTGCTTCCAAATGCATTTTTAGAAGATCAAGCCCTATTTGCCATTCTCGCCCATCACATGCCCCATGAAGGGGGAAACATGTTTAATAAGAACAGAATGATGGCAGTAAGAAACAAGGAGGAAAAAGTTCTGATGATCAAAGAAATAAAGTTAAACAGCAACGAGATATCCCACCTGTGCTTTGTCAAACGGGCAGATTTTAAAATATGCCTCCAGTTGGTGGGAGTGGCTCTGGAAGGCACAACTTTTATATCTTGACATTTTACATGTGAGCGGTCTCAATTGTCCTTAAGACTGCTTGGTAGCTCTCTCTCTACCCCGCTGCTCCATCCAACAGGGCGGGCTTCGAGAAATTACTTCTAAGTTCAGGAGAGCGCAGTGGCTGCAGGCCTTCGGAGAGGATCTGCCTGGGGCTTTTCGGATCATTTTTGCGACCTGTGTGCTGCACTTGGTATCCTGTTGTTCCAGGGGCCGGCCTTCTTCTTCGCCTTTAAGCCTTTTTAAGCCTTTAAGCCACAATGATAACCTTTTTTCCACTGAGAAAAAGTGATCGAGAGGTGGGTTTCAAATTTTGGCCGACACTAACCAGACTCGAGAGATAAACACTCAGCTCACCACGATTCCTACAAACTCCCTGACTTGACTTGGCACACGGGACAGGGCCGAGGTTTTCTTTTTCCGTTTGCACAACCCCCCGGCTCGCAGGTTGCGGAGATGACCTCTTCCCAGCGCTGTCCTTCTGCTGTTCCAGCCAGGGCCGCGACCGGGACCTCCGCGCTCTCCGCCCCGGCCTCCCAGGTTCGTGTCCCCCAGGCGCGAGGCCGTCCCTCGCCGGGCCGCCTTCCCTGTCCTCGGCTCCCCGCGGAGGAAATTCTTCCCCAGCAGCCCAGGGCTCGCCTCACGTGATCAGCAGCCGCCGCGGCTTCCAGCGAGAGTTTAAAGGTTACGGAGGAAATTAGCACGGACGCAGACCCTCGCCCCTCGGAGGACGCACCCCGTTTTCGCGCAGCTGGGACGGCCGCTGTCAGCGCGCTGATCAGAGCCCAGAAGGGCACAGGCAAGGTCCAGAGTAAATATGAAGTCACTTCGTAAAATATAAACAAACACACAAACCGAGCCAGGGTGCTACTAAGCTTTCACTTGTCAACAAGTTTCTCGCAGCCCGATAAGTCTGGGACAGACCCCCAAAGGGAGAATGCCCCCAAAGAAAGGGAAGAGAGAATAAATGTTTTAAAACTCATACGGAGCCTTGCACGCCCCTCCCTTTCCCCCTCCCCCCACCACCGCGGAGCAGAGCGTCTCCGGACAGAATGACAGACAGACCGACCAATACTCCGCAGGCTGCCCTTGCCAGCCACGGTCCGAGGAGGGGTGGGGCCGGGGGAGGGTCCCGAGTCCTCTCCGGCTGCGCGACCCCTGCCACTTCTCCACCCTCGGCTCTAAAAGACAGTGTTGGCCACAGAGCCTGGAGAGATGCGCGGCCCGCTCGTCTCCCGGCGGAGACCACAGACCAGGTATCGACAGCCGGCGGGCTCGCACCCCCAGCCCCCAAGGCCGCCACTCTCCGGGGTCCCACGCGGGGTCCCGGTCTGGCTCCTCCGCCCGCCGCCGCGACCCCGGCAGGCTCGCCCGCTCTCGGTCGTCCTCTCCTCGGCTCACTTTTCCCGTACTGCTCCCCCAACCGGCAAAACTTTCTATTTCCCCAAACACAGGAGCGCGCCCGCGCGCGTGCACACACACACACACACACACACACACACACACTGACGTCTTTTGCGCATTTCCTGCATTAGAGGGAGGGAGACTCGCTCGCACACCGACGGAGGGAGAAGAGACCGAGGGGGAGAGCGGGCGGGCGGGCGGGCGGCGAGCGAGCGGCAGCCGAGAGCTGGGACGCGGGGAGCGCGGCAGGCGGGCGCCGGCGCCCGGGAGGTGGGGCCGCGCGGAGTCGCAGTCCCGTCCCCGCCGCCGCGCTGCGCACCGCCCGCTGCCGGCCTGCGCCCCGAGCCTTAGCGGCGGCCACCCCGACTCCCGACCCCGCGCGGATGTGAGATTCCCGACTCCTGGAGCTTCCCGATCGCCGACTGAGGCGCGGCGCGGCTTCGCCCAGGAGGAGGCGGCCGGGCTGGCCGTGTGGCTTGTGGATTTTTAAAAATTTGGCTCCGAGGAGGACCATTTCCTCTCGACATGCATCCCTCCGGATAGACTGCACATCCCTTGGTCCATCCCCCCGCCCCGCGCGGTCAGAGGCAGGCGCTGGGTGTGCGAAGAGGATCCGGGTTGAAATCTGCGCCCCCGGTTCTCGTCCCCGCCCCGTCTCACCGCCCCCTCCCCCTCCCGGAGTCGAAATTTCCCGGGGATTATGTTTCGGAAAGGTAGGTAAGCGCCGGGCGCGGAGCCCGCTTCCCCGCAGCCCGGACCCAGTGAGGCGGCGAGGCGACGACACAGCCCCCGCGGCTTGCAGCGGAGCCAGCACCTCATCTCCTCTTCTGGAGGTGCTGCTGTTGGGGTGGGGGGGAGAGACTTGCTCCAAACACGGACGTCCCCCAGCTCTCCCCCCCTCCCTGTTTTCCGTTAGGAACCCAGCGAGGAAATACATGCACTGGCTGAGAATCGCCCGCGCCAGGGCGCAACGCTACAAGGTGTAGGGAGAGTGTGCGGTGGGGCGAGAGGGGACCCAGGAGTCCCCGTGCTCGGAGCGCCGCGGCGTCGGTTCTTCGTTCCTGCCCTCGGGGCGGACGGAGTGACCCCGGCCCCCACTCCCCGCCCCGACCATGGTAGTGTTCAATGGCCTTCTTAAGATCAAAATCTGCGAGGCCGTGAGCTTGAAGCCCACAGCCTGGTCGCTGCGCCATGCGGTGGGACCCCGGCCGCAGACTTTCCTTCTCGACCCCTACATCGCCCTCAACGTGGACGATTCGCGCATCGGCCAAACGGCCACCAAGCAGAAGACCAACAGCCCGGCCTGGCACGACGAGTTCGTCACCGATGTGTGTAACGGGCGCAAGATCGAGCTGGCCGTCTTCCATGATGCCCCCATCGGCTACGACGACTTCGTGGCCAACTGCACCATCCAGTTTGAGGAGCTGCTGCAGAACGGGAGCCGCCACTTCGAGGACTGGGTGAGTTGGGCGCCTCCTGGTCCAGGAGCGCGGCTCTGGGGTTCCGGGGGAAGACTCTTGGCCTTGGCTCTGGTCGTGGGGCGCAGGGTCTTGGTGCCATCTGAGGGGTGTGTGTGTCTCAATTACTTTGCGGAAGCACAGTCCACTTCGTATTTGGGAAGAAGTAGGCATTGGGGCAAGGAAGAAGAGACTTGGAAAGAGGGTACGGCCCTCTGCCCCTTCCAGACAGCGGGTGCTACAGGGAGCTCGCAAGCTGGGAGCCCCGAGCCGCCGGTGCTGAAGGTTGGCGGAGAACCCGGCGTCTTCCGCAGGCGCGCGGTGGGCTGGCTGTGTGTGATTGTGTGTGTGTGGGTTCCTCCATCCTTGGAGAGGCACGTGGAGCCCTAGACTGAAGGCTTCTTGCACGTCCTGGCTTTGTCCTGCGTAGCACTGAGGAGCTGTTTTATCTTTCCCCCCCGGGAGGAAGCTAGCTCGTTTCTATTCTGTTGCCTGGCGGTTAGCTCATCTGCTGACATACGGGGAGAAAAACGTCTTCTCCTCTAGTCCCCTCCAGGGTCCCAGAAACATCGGCCGAGCTGGTTTTGCCCAATGCATTGCCTATCCATCCGGAACGACTGTTGTATTCTACAAATGGTTCTGCTAGTGAGTAACTGGAAGTCAGTGCTTTGAATCCGACTTCAAGTTATATCGTTTCCCTGTTTTGATTTTCAAGACACTGTGCAATGAGATACTAAGTATGAGACTGAGTTAATTGATTACATTGTCAAAATATTAGGGACTTGGAAACAGGCCTTGTGCACATACTATAAGCCAAATGCATTAAACCTTGGCATTCAGAGAAGCAGGGAGAAGCAAGCTTGCTTTAGCTCTTTTTTAGAGGGAAGGTTCAATTAGGAAATGGATTTCTTTATTGTCAGATTTGTTACATGTTTCCACCAAGAGCAGGTGTGGCTCTGGGTATATATGTTTTCAGGGTTTTTTGGTCTACCCCAAAAGAGAGATATCTGATCCTCATGGAGAGGTGTTTAATTATTGAAAATGAATAACTTCATGATTGTCCTATGGTCAGAGGTTGCACATGAATCACCTTGGCATATTGCCTTACATATATATACATATACGTACACCCGTATATATACATTTATAAATGTATATATATTTTAAGGATATGGAATTTTAGGGGAAAATAGGAAAAAGCCTCTTCCCTTTATGCTCACAGCTGTGGTGTAGTCTGCCCGAAACCATGGTTACGGGGCTTACAGGGAAGCTCCAACAAACCGCACCAAGTATAGCCCTAGAAGACTGTGGGAAGCAGGCAAACCTTTATGGAATCCCAAAGAACACAATGCTATTCCATTCCATTCCAGTTCACCAATGGCCCTTGCCACTGCCTCCCTCGCACCACTGGCGTTCCTACTCATTCCCCATTTCCTCTCCACACTGGCCTCCAGTCCTTTCACTCATGAAAGCAGTGCATGTCTGAGGGGGAGCTGAAGGTATAACTAATTTCAAAGCCAGATCTTAACACCAAAAACCTGTGGTTTTCAAGTTGTTGTTGTTGTTTTAGAACGTGAAGGGGAAGAAAAAGCTATGACTATGGTAGTGAGGAGATGGGGCCTTTTGCCGTGTATTCAGATGAAGGAGTTGGACAGTGAGGCAGAGAGCAGGTAGGGTGAAGAGCAGGTCTGCTTTTATCCATATGCAGATGCTGGTTGAGGGAAAGGTGTCTGAGTGTCTCTGATGATGCTTTGCTGGGGCCCACCCATATCTTGGGCACATTGGGGCACCATCCCCACTTTGGAGCATGTCCGGTGAAGTGTGCATTGGGCACTAGTCTTGTTTGGCTATCATTCTCTAAGGTACTCAAATTCACGTTGAACTTGGCCCTAGACCAGATCATCTAGTGCACAGGCAAGTTTCACAGACAAGGACGTTGAGTCCCAGGGCAGCTAAGTGGGTACCTGAGGTCATGTGACAAGCAAAGGGGGCAGAGTTGGAAGGAGGGACCACACCTCCTATTGCTCACGGCTGGCCCAGTGGAGATCTGACCCCTCTGGCCTCCCAGTATAATTCTCCTTGCAGAGTCATGTGCTGTGGTCCCTGATGTTTCTATTGTACCTGATAATTTAAACTGCTTTCAAAATCAGCGTTTCTTTTGCCTTATAGCAAGTGTGTATTAGATATGACAGGTATTGGATAGATTCAAAGACTTGAGATGGGGAAAGGCCAAGGTCACGGGATGAACCAAGTAGTGGAGCTTGTTCTGTTCGCCCATTTGTGGTTGTTTCCACGAGGGTTCTCTGGCCATTCTGGTTCTTCCAGACAGGGTGAGGATGCAGCAGCAGAGGTGACTGGCCCTTGGAAACAGACAAGCTGCCACTGGAATGGCTGAGGTCACCTTTCCCATCCCTGTTGGCCAGGGGACACCCACAGAATCACACCTTTGGGTAGAATTTCCTAGGCTCTGGCTTCTGTGCTCTTCACCTGACAGTGATGGAGAGATGTGGCTGAGAAATCTGGCCTGGAGTAAGGAGATGCAGAGGGCCTGCAACAGCCACTTCTCTCAGTGCTGTGGAACATTTCATTCAGCTACATGATGAGTTCCCACGTGATCACTGAGTTCCTGTTTTGTGCTCGGATCCAACCAGGGACGTTTAGCTCTCTGGGTAATCCAGGAGTAAAAGAGACCATGGGTTACTCTCAGGAGGCTCGGTTTCACTAGGGAAATGACACTGAATAGATCCATATAGACACTTAAGTAGCAATTATGTTATAAATGAGTGGTACCTTAAGTATGTTACAGGAATTCCAAAAGGGAGTGTGCTGGGGTGGCTGGAAGAATCTGGAGGTTCCTGGAAGGAGGCATGAACTGGGTGTGAAATGATGGGTAACATTTAAAGAGACATTTATAAGAGGAGATAGTGTTCCATGGCACGGACACTCTGGAATAAAGGCAGAGAATGCCTGTGGTCAGAGACACATGGCTGAAACTGAAGGTGCCTGTCAGAAAGGACAAAGGCAAATTTGAGGTTTCCCAAATTTAAGACCTTTATCTGAGTACTGCCTGTACTATTACATATTTATTTAATATTTTTAAACATTGATGCTTTTATTTCCCACTGAAGCCCCAGTATTCATGAAATCACAGGTTTGGATACTGTAGTTACAATTTTTCTTCATTTATATTAACATAAACATTGGGCCTCTAAAAGAAAAAGAAAAGTTTATCTCAGATGCCTCTTAAAATCATTAGTGCTACGGGGGCCACCCTCTGGAAACACTGGAGCGGGAGAAAGTTTAGAAAATTGAGGTGGATTCTAGAATGTTTAAAACCAGGCTGAGATCATTATTCTCCAGACCGTGAGAGATGTATCAGTTTTGATGACAAAAGGGATTGCTTTAAAGAAAGCTTATTACAGAGAGAGGGGAAGATTGCACTGGTACTTGAAGCAGAATCCCATTAAATACTATTGCCATAGCTTGTTTCCTAAGAACTAGATAATGACGCTACTCAGACTTTGGTGTGCAGAAGAATCACTGGTTGAGGGGCTTAAAAATATAGGTTCTCCTGCCCCACCTTCAGAGCTTTTCATTCTGTAATTTAGGACGAGTGCTAGGAATACTCATTTTTAACAAGATGTCCTGGAGCTTCTGACCAGACCATACCTTAAGAAACACTGAATTAGAATAGAAATTGTGGGCAGGAGAAGTCTCCAGATAATTAATGTACCAAGACTTTGTACATAGAAATGTCCTGAGATTTTTGAATGGACTTTTATCATTCCTAAAGCAAGATTTATAAGCAGGATTGGGTAGACTAGAAGTATTGGGATTCCTGTGAGAACCAGAGGCTGAATGGATGCTGGCTGGAGCAGCGCTTGCATTTTAGGACAGATGGTGGGGGAGCAGGGGGATGGCAGAGAGAGTGGGTGGAGCGTGCCGCTACAGCTGGCTGGCCCTGTCACACTCTGGAGTTTGCTCTTTGTCACCTCAGTAGTCTATATCCTTAGCCTCAGTTCTCTCCTGTTCTCCCCTTCCTGCCTCTGAAGATATCTTTGGTTGGTGTCACTCCCACGCTTCATCCTGTGGAAGAGGCACTCATAACAGTGCTAATGACAGAAAGTCATTGTCTGAGAGGTGACGTGGCAGAGCACCTAAGGGCAGAGCACTGGAGCCTGGCTGCTTGGACTTGAATCTCACCTCTACCACCAACTACTTTCGAGACCTTTAGGGAGTGATATAACCTGTGTTTCTGTTTCTTCCTCTGTAAAAAGTGGGGATAGTACAAGTCCCTACCTGTAATGAAACGGGCTTGTCATGGGGATAGAAGGGACACATAAAGTGCATAAGCCAATGCCTGGCCCTCAGTCAGGGCTCTGTGAATGTTTAACAACTATAGCTATCATTGTTATGTCCCCCTAAACCTACCATGGGGCTGGCCCTAGAGAAGGTTCTTTCCTGAGTTGATTATTATACAGGACCTAAGGAAGCCAGTTTTTCTTAGCCTCCAAAATGTTTTTCATTCGGGGAGTCTCATTTGGCAAGGAATGGGACTCTAGTGTTTCTGTTTCATTTTTCCAAAGTAGCGCATTGACAGGGCTTCTCAAAATTATCCCACCCTGCTGACCCTGTTGGATAGGCCGATGCCCCTTTTGGAGAGGTTAGGCTTGGGGGGGCTGGCGATGCCCCTGGGCCCCAAAGCCCTTGGGGAGAGTCTTACAATGCCAAAGCCAAACAGAGGGGCCTAGTGGTTCAGATGGTGGTGCCCTGGGCAGAGCCTGAGGACACGTGTTCCAGTGAAACTACCCTAGCTGAGTCTGCTCTGCTGGTGGCCTGAGCACGTACGTGTTGATATACGCTGCCTAAAGGCCCATCTCCTCTGTCTTCAGGACTCTTGTAAGGCAATCTTTCGGAGGATTTCTGAAAACTTCTATTATCATTTAAATAGAGTGAGGTGGGATGGTCTGGAAAGGGGCACCGAAGCCCTGGGAAGGGTCCAC